ACTTTCGATCGCTGGTTAATAATTATTTTCGAGGATTTTTCATTCTTTTCTGTGACATATACGGACTTAATTAATCTGTGAAAGAGATGTGTCTCAAAAGAAAACTTGTCCAAAAATTCGATAGTGTAACATTGTGACTAGCGAAAATGAGACCTACTTAGATAAGGGAACAGAGAGCTGAATTTGCTGTGTACACCTGAATTTACTACCTGCCTCTTTATTCATACTGATTTTTTCAAAAAAATAAAATTTTTTGTGCATGAGACTCTCGCGGGACTTTTTGTGGAGCCCCGCAGGACTCCCTATGGATTTTTTGAGAAAAAAAACTCCCGAGGGAGTCCCGCGGGGCTTCTGCCGAGACTCTCGACTAGGGTAATTCTCAAAATGAAATAATTTAATAATCAAACAATAGGGTATAGATTAACCTCGTTCTTCAAAAACTGTGCACAAAAATATCTCAGTGTACCTTTCTGTAATCGTGCACAAAAATGTCAAAAGGTTTTTTAGTGCACGGAAAACAGCAAACCGTGCATAATTCTAGAAAAAACCGTGCACAGAAAAATCCTCGTCCATTGAGCAGTAGGAGTTGAACACACTATAGCAGTTCACAGGATGAGGAATCAAACAGCTCAAGTTTCCTTTTGGATAATTTAGTCCAAAAGTAAAATCGATGCTTTAAAATTCATAGTTTTAGTGTTCGATATCAACAACTGTGTAGTGCTTCACTTTCCTTCTGGTCTATCCTGGTCTCTCTCTCTCTCTTTTCTAGAGCCAGATTAGGTTCGAGTTACATTTTACTTAATTCGTACAGGTTTCTACTTGATACTTCAGGTTTTCATATCCATTCGACCTTATAGATGTCTCCACATATTTCAGCTTTTAAAAATAGAAAAATAATTTTAGGTAGCAGAACTGGCGCATGTATCATCGGATCGAAAACTTTTAAAAGCTTGTTCGGTCAGAGCCGATTGCAGCTTCGTCTTTTCCATGGTCGATTATCTAGCACACAGTAACTTCTGGATCGGGATACTTTAGAAAATATTTTCGACATCGTTTTTGCCTATGGTCATACAGTAACTTTTGGAAAAATTTTCGAGCAAGATCATGAGAAAATTTTTTCTAAAGTACCCTGATCCAGAAGTTATTGTGTGCTAGATAATCGAACATGGAGAAGACAAAGCTGCAATCGGCTCTGACCGAACAAACTTTTAAATTTTTTGATTTGAATCAACTTCTTTCAAAAGTATTCTCTCTTTTTACCTTACTGATAAAGGTGGAATCCAATATCGGATAGGACTAGCATTTTTATTAGAGATAAACATGTGTTTTCTGAAAACTTGGTTTCATTCCCGTCACATGACGACCTCTTGGACCCAAGCAAAAGAAGTTTTTTTGAAGCTAGCCTAATCTAGACTAAAAGGAACATTTACCTAGCTTAGAATTAGTTGCACCTAGATAAATGTACTCTTTAATCTAGATTAAGTTGGCTCCAAGAGAACTTTTTTTGCTTGGGAAAAAATGGTTGGTTTGAACCAATATTTTTACCACATACCTGTCTCAGATTCCAAATTTGTTTTTTAAAAAATATGCTTGTCTGCTCAAAATGTTATATTAGTTCGAATAATTATATTTCGAAAAGGAGAGTATATTTACAATTTAAAATAGAATCTGAAGTATCTGTGATACAAATTGGACTAAATCGGACCTTCACTGTCATTTTAGCCATGAGGGTGAATAAAAAAGGAGTAAACTCAAGAGCATCTATTTATTTCAATTCATAAAATTTAATGAACGCTCTCACACTTATAGTATATAGTTCTAAGTGTATTTCAGTAAAAAATTTAGCAAATTTGTGGTCGTGTTCGAGCTTTTTTCCTTCTTCTATAGATCTATATTGCATGTGAAATTTTATACGATCAACTTACGTTCTGTAATGTGTATAATAATTCGGCAATTCGAGCATGTACAGCAGGCGATGTTGCTTGTGATATTAATTGTAAAATTTCGTCCATACAATTTTGCATTCGCATTAAATCCATTAGTTGATCGATACATTCGATATTATTCGCCAATCGACTTAATTCACTAAATCGTTTCAATAATTGTTCATTTAAAATATTTGCTAAAAAAACAAAAACAAATGAAAATACTTTCTATCATCAAGCACAACATCTAATGACATCTACTCTCAAAAAAAAACGGTTAATCGTATTAATTTTTAATACAGTCACAATGGTTAGAGTTCAAAATAATAAAAATAAAAAGGTGAATATAGCACATTAAGTGGGTATATGTTTGTCAAAACTCATTATCATCATAAAAATCAGCTTTTCTAGAATTTTGAAAGCGAATGTGTGTGTTATTCTTTTTTTTTTATTAACCATCACCCACAAGTTTATAGTATGCGACTACGGAAAAATAACGCTCCTTTTGACGTATTAATAAACAAATACGTATGTCTCTTTTGAAAAGATAATTAAAACTCAATAGATCAAAAATGATGGAAAATAAACATCCAAATATTCTAACAGAAGAGAAAGAGAGTGGGATGAATGAGTAAAACATATAAAAAATTCAATATGTTTTTTTAATCTTTATACCAAAAGAATATTCCATATTATAGCCTATTTTATTGTTTAATAAATGGTTTTAGAGTTTGACATTTCGTGTAATGTTTAAAGCAAAAATGTAAGGGAAAAACATGTTTTACCAGTATGAGTGAAAAAATATCAAATCGATTTTTACAATGATGAATTTAGCAACATTATAAGTTTACATAAATATTCATACTTTCGAGTATACTGTATTCATTCCTAGCGAAAAGTAAAAGCGTGAAAAAATTTAAAATGTTAGTATAAGATTAGAGAAGTTGTCCTTAGATAGGTATCACTGGCAATCTATAGTTGAACAAAAACATAAATAAATAAATATTCATCAACATAACTATGCGCCATCTAACAGAAAATACACATGAAAATATTCAACAAATTAAGTATATATCAAAAGTCATTACAAATGATTGCATAAACTCAATATTGTTAATTAGATCAATGAACAATAAAAGATTCAACCGATTTTGACAATATTTCAAATAAAATGATCAAGTTGTTCTCGGAAAACCACAATCCAATGGCAACCAAAAGCGTATAATAATTTTTGTTTGCTGTAGCATATCGGATGAAAAGTGGGAAAAAAGGAAGCATAGTATGTTTCAATACGGTAGATACTCCTGTTCCCACTACAAACCACTTACGTCCAATTCACTTCTCGCAAAATATATGAGACTCCTCTTAATAAACTTCACTGCATGTTTGAAGAAAATGAATGCAATATCATGGGAATAACCGACAGCAAGTTCGCATATGGCTACAATTTATTAAGAAAATCACAGAATCTAGAACACGTTCAGACCGGTATTGTTCATGGACTTCTTATAAGCTTTCGACTTACAATGGGAACTAGGCATTATCTTAAAATCACACAAACTGCACAACTCTTATGCCTATCTTTTATCGATCTTTAATTACTCTAAAGATCGAACAATGATCATAGACCATGGAGGAAAATTATTAAGAGAAATCGAACTTCATCAAGGATCATCGCAAGAACAGCGTGTTTGAAGTAGGTATGTACCAGTACCAGTATACTGGGTACCCAAATAGTTTGGTCACCTAGTATACTGATACTGGTGCATACCTAGTTTGAAGCCACAGTATACACTACACGACATTATATCTGCCATATATCTTCAAACATCCTAAAATTCTCACTTTTATGTCGACGACTTATCAAACGCTTATCTACCCTGATCTATTTAAAATATTAGCAAATCAATGAAATCAAAGAACCAATTAACGTGCGCACAAAAAGACTGCACAAGTACACTCTAAAAAAAAATGGTTTTATACAGAACCTTAGTTCCAGAAACCAGCAAGGTTTCGTAACTTCTACGAAACCCCAAATGATTTCGGAGCTTCAAAGATTTTGTGTGCTAGATTAAAAAGGTTTCGTGGAAAAACTATATATCTTTTCTGAAAGAAGAGTTTTAGACGGAACTTTTAATTGATAGCAGTATGTCTGTTCTATTAATTGATCAATTACAGGTGTCATATTTTTTCCCTTTCTTGCCTTCTTGTTTGTATAATTTGGATAAGTAATGCTACTCGTGCTATTTCTTCCTTGTCTATAAAGGCTGCAATGCCTTTTCAAGTAAAATTAAGAAGTAATATCTAGAGATGCCACTCAGACAATTTTCATCTCGTTCACAGCAATTTTCATCTCGTCTGAGCATGTTTTCAACCACATTTTCTCAAGTTTGACTTGTCTTAATTTGTAGAATATAAATGTCATTCTCGTTTTGTGTATCATTATACATAAACGGCAAGGGGATATGGGCCGAGGTCGTAGAAAAGTTGCATTTTTCCGTAATTTAATGACATTTCTACAGTTTTATTTGAATAAAATAATAGCAGCGAGAATAAGAACAGTGCATTGAGTGACGCGTTTCTATTTCTTTTCCAAACTTTATGTATGCTGAGTCACAGAATTAATTCGTTCAACTTCATCTTTGCTTTTCCTTTTTGACTAAAGTAGCTAGAAGAAATCTAATAAAAGATTCGAATGGCTGAAAGAGTTTTTAATTAGAAGCGATATGTATAAAGGTTTTATTAACATTTCTAGAATCAGAGTCTCCATAAAATCAGAACCTTAGAAAATCAAGTCCTCCAGTTCGATCGAGGAATATCTTGCAAACAGTTTTATCGTATAGAGCACTGTCTACGAATAGTCTATGACATTTTTTTCATCAAGCTGCATTCAATTGACGAAGAGTCCCGAAGCCATATTTTTTGTGTTCTTAGTTAATTCTGACGTATGGAGCCATTTATAAATTTTGCCTGTTGTAAAATGTAAATTGTAAATTTTGCTAATTGTAAAAATTGCCATTTGTAAGCAGCTTGATGAAAAAATGTTATTATTCAGAAATATTGGCTCTATACGGTGAAACCGTTTGCAAGATGTTTCTCGATCGAACTGAAGGACTAGGCTTTGTAAGATTTTGATTTTTTGAAGACTCTGATTACAAAAATACTGCTTTATACACACCGCTTCTAATTGAAAACTAAGACTATAAATTGTCGGGTGTTTTGCTATACAAATTACATACAGACAGTTTAAAAAAGAAATTAAAATCGCCACTTTACTTGTTCTTGTTGTACTTGCAGTAAAGTTTCTAAACCCCGTTAAAAGAGTGTAATAAGCAAGAATTAAGAAGAAAATTAATTGCGAATAAACAAAGAGAAGAGCGTCCTTTTTCTAGCTTGTAACTAACGATCAAGAAAACTTAGACATAAAGATCGACATGAAACCTTTAAGGGAACCGCACGAAATCCTTTATACAGAACCTTTTCTGAACAGAAAAATAGAGAGGGTTCGTACTAAACTCCTTCTGTACGGAACCTTGAAATGGTTTAGAAATGGTTGCAAAATTCGGAATATCTTTTAGGTTCCGTTTTTTTGGAGTGTATGCTATGAAATGGCACTAACCATTAAATGTAAAGAAAACAGAGGTTGTGATATACCAACAGAGGTTGGTTTAAGCTATTTATTTGAATAAATATAAAGTATAAAGCTCTAGTGTTACTAATTCGGCATTGCCATTATATAGTGAACACAAGGCCTGCAATATAGATGGAAAACAGCATCAAAAATTGAATGAATAAGTTAGTAAATTAGTTAGTAAACAGTGAAATAAATAAAACAGACTGATTGTTTTAGAATTACAGAAAAGAATTTACAAATAGAAAAACATTTTGGGTTTCAGTAAAATATGGCACACACATTAGAAAAAGAAAAAGACAAGGTTTAACACGGAAAACTTAGTTTAACTTGTTACAAAACGTTTAGTTTCACATATATAGACAGTAATCGCTTTGTAAACTTTAACATATTGTTCAAAGTTGGAAGAATGAGAAGGAGCAGATAGTAGAAGGATATTCATATCTATACTCAGATCAGGATCACACTCGTGTAATGTATCAAATAATGTTTTCCGAGCAATAGTGTGGTCAGGACATTGCAGAAAAAAATGTTCTACTGTTTCCAAATCAGAGCATGAGCAGAATTGTGAATTTGGTGTTCCCGGTACAGAGGTTATGGTGAGTTCCCGTGCAGTCTCAGTCCACTAGACGCTAGATCCGAATTAGTCCTAGTTTTCTATGAGTTAAAATTTTCCAGTCACAGTCCACGAAGCTTTAAGTCAGATGTCAGCCACAGCATACATAGTTTTCCATTTCCATTCTTTTTCTCCTTTTTTACCAGAGAGACACTGTTTCTTTACACGACTATAGTAACGAAAAAGAAGAAAACAAAAAACTTTTTTTGAATGTTAAAAAACAACAACAAGACGGAATTTTTTGTTTCCTTTTTTTTATACGAAAGTGGCAAGAAAAGCCTAATTTATAACAAAAAAGTTACATTTGAGTAAAGTAAGACATGAGAGGGTTTTTCTCGTCATTCTTGACCGATGTGGTCGTATAAGAAAACCGAATTGAGAGAATACTCTTTCAACCGGAGCTGAAGTACTGGCACACATAGTATCTTTGTTACTAGTGTGCTCAACATCGGGTACAGGGAAGATTTCTTGAAAATTAAACTACTATTTGTATTTTCTGAAAAAAAAAATCAGCCAAAGAAAAGTCCAAGTCTCTTCAGTCCCAGCCCGCGTGAAAAAGTCTATCAATCCAACGTTGGACTTGTTCATTTCTGGCATACCACCGTGTAGTACGAAGACAACGATTTACTGTTTACTATGATGCTGTAGAAACTAGTCAGAAAATATCATTCAAATACTTGAATCCTCGAATCGATGAAAAATTTTCTTTTCAACATATTCTCGATGATTAATTTATCAAATTATTGTGATCATATAAAATACTGGAAGATATACACCATCAATTTCCGTCATTCTTCTAATTCAAAATTAGATTTTTTCAACACATACATCTGATCGTACACATTATCGTTATTCTATTGTCACAAACGTATATTAGTATGGTCAAGACTACATATGATTAGTCCGATGAAGTTAAATAGAGCTCCATTTAATTCAATGCACATGTACATTATGATCAGAGGATATGTCAAATAAATATTTGTTAATTTCAAATCTGTCATCAATGTTATACAAATGAAAATATAACTGATAAATTTTTTAGCTTTTCTATTGAAAATTATTAATATTAATAGGAAAAAATATGTTTTACATTTCTATGAAAATTATATATTTTATCAGATTATCTTATAATAGAATAATGTTTAATTTTTGTTTCTCGAAATTCGTTGGATCATCATCCGTCACGTATATCATGTATATTGTGTCATATAAGAGTCATTCAGAGATTATAATTAATCATATGCGCGTGTACAACTGTTATACTTCATCTATGTCTATTTTTAATATTCACAATTTCTGTAATCTATCTGTCTATTCACAAACATATGTATAGTAATTTCTCGAACAAACAAAACGGCCCTCTATTGAAAACGATATAGATATATAGCAATAATCTTGAACATTGTCAACAAGTCTATTTTTTATTTTTCTTGTGCATGACATTTTCTAATTCGTAGATAATTTTCAAAGATTAACGTTCATTAATTAAATTCTCTCTTTTTTTCAATATCAAATTTCTTTTTCTTTTTTTAAAGTATGAACGTTTATTTAAGAACAATGCTGACAGCCATATATTATGACATCAATGAAACAATCAGTGTTATTTTTATCTAAACTCACAAATGTAATTGATATCGATTAGACAAATGAAAGAAACTGACAAAAGAGTCTTCATTAAATTCGTAGAGCAGTTGAACCTGTAGAATCTAAATGAACTCTGAAAACCAAAAGGTATAGTATGAAACTTATGAGGTCCATACCAATCAGGTATGGTACGTATCTGTGAAACCTCATTAAGGTTTAGTAATCGAAGAGATTTCGTACGATACCCTTCAAAATTTTGTATCATATTCTTCAAGGTATCGTATTCGAACAGGTTTCATAACACATCTCTTGAAGGTATAGTAGTAGAAAACGCTTCGTACTATACCTCTCTCTGTGCTACTCTCATCTCAGAAGGCGCCTGTTTTTTGTTCACAGCCAGGATAGCTGAGAAATGTTGTGAACTTCTCTGATTCCGTGGAAAAAGCGCCCAATGTAATTAAAGCTAGAAAGTTTTCAAGATACCCTCTGAAGACCCTAATGGAACTGGAAGTATATTATATGTTGCAAGTTTTATTATCCGTAGATGACTTTTTTGTGTTATCAAAACTGACTGATCTTTTTTTGCCCTCACTCTTTTTTGTGTCTTTGGTTAGGTGATATGTTTTTACAGTGTACGAAGTCAGCCAATTTTTTGAAAATATTTTCTTTTACTCTATTTAGACACTTCATATTTACGCGTATTTTTATTAGAAGATGATTTTATTCTCAAACGACAAGTTTTGTGCATAAGTGGCTTTTCTTTGGCGATACTTGCATTTTTTCGGGGTTTTTTTGTTGCTGGGTAGCAGCAATAAATAAATTCAAGACAAATATACTATATAAAATTCATACGTAGAATCAGTACGAAAAAAACCTCTACAGAACCTTTTTTGAAAGCAGAGGAAAAAGGTATCGCACGAAACCTTTTTCGTACAGAACCTAAAAAAGGTTTAGAAATGGTTTCAATTCTCGAAACCCTTTTTAAGTTCCGTCCGGCATCTTTTTTTGTTTGAGAGAAAACTGATGTCATTAATACCATGTAGAAGTGTACATTATTATAAAAGCCAAACGACGTTATTTTATCACTATTACTTATGTGATAGATACACAATCGTTAGAAAATGAATTGAATAGAATTATTGATGAATAATGACCGTTTAAATTTTGAGAATTATAACAGCCGGGTAAAACGAGATCATTTCTTATTTTATTCACGCTATTTCGACCTTAATCGTTCATTATCAAGTCAAAAATAAACTATAAAAAATGTAAAAATTTTTTATCTAAAAGACACAAGAAAAACTGAATTATAACTATTCATACTTTTTAATATTATTTCCATTCGATAAGTCATCGAACTGAATTTAGTAAATATAGAATAGAAAATTGTACATTGACGAATGGAGAATACATGAACGAATTAGTTCGCTTAATTAAAATATTCGACAAATATACAAAAATAAACTATATAAAATCCATACGTAGAATCAGTACGGAAAAAACCTCTACAGAACCTTTTTTGAAAGCAGGGGAAAAAGATATTTATATATTTTTCGACTGTCGTTATTTACTCGGCTGCTATAATTCTCAAAAATTTATTTGAAAAGTTTGCCCATTAGTTCGTCTAATTACCGTTCACTTCAAGGTTAGAGCTAAAAAATAAATTATTCTTCAAACGGACAATTTCTTCTGTTTAATCATAACGCTGTCGAAACAAAAAACGTCAATAAATCATAGAGACGTAAAATATAATCGGAACAGTTTAGTACACAACTCAATAATTCAAATTTTTCTATTTTCGATCACTGAAAGGGTGCTGTGAAAAAAAAAAGCAACAAATAGTGTAGTATTAAACTGCAATCTCGTTTTCTTTTCGGTAATCAGAAAATTCAAAACAACGAATTATAACTTAGATAATGTTACGTCTAAAGAGGAATGACTCTACAGATATATTTGACATATAAAATGTTAAAACAGTTTTTAAGACTTTTTATATTATTCGAAATATCGTTGACATACATAAAGAGAGAGAATATATATCCGTTTATGAATCAATATTAGTTCTGAAGTACAATATAATTTTTCTTTCACAAGATCATTCTGTTTTTCATTAATTATTTATCCGTAGTATATAATATGTCAACAGTGGAAAAGAAAATATGGAGCAGAAAACAAGAGAGTGGGTGATCTATATTAAAATCTCATATAATCATAATTAGAAAAGTGTATACCTCTAATATATTATAAAACATTCGATCTTTCTTCGTATCTAATCATCTATTGGAGTAAGATTTTTTCTTCTTATTATTCATTTTTCACGTAACATGATTTCAAGCTTGCTTAGTTTCATAAATTCACTTTATTATTATCACGCAATCGTCCTATATCACTTTTGTTTTTGTTATTTTTAACAAATTAAATCTTCCTATTTTTTGATCGATGGACATGTTCATTTATTTTCCTATAGTGTTCTTAATAAAAGAATATGTTTGCCAACAAGTAACCAATGAGGTATGAAGTAAACCAATACATGCAACTTTATGAAACGAGACTTTAGATCCGAAAAGCTTTGTTTGTCTGAGATTAAAATAAAACAATGTATTATTATAACATTCACAATCAAATTATAAATAGCACACAATTTTCGATAGGAAACAAAATGCGTCTACGCATATATTCCAAGATCTATTGTTCAAAAAATACAAAATCATTAACTTTGGCGATCGTCTCAACTCCAAATACAATACAACTAGAAAAAAACAGTGAAAATAATGCTTACAGGCAGCAGTCGCATACACACACACGTACACGTACCAGTGCACACGTATGCAGTCCGTTTATATTCATTGTGAATAATATTATAGAAAGATCAGGGATCTCAGTCTAGAGTAGGTTCACACGAGCTCCAGAGTCTTTCGCAAGGTAGACCTTCTCTTTCTGCCTCCGCCTGTGGTAAACACAGAACGGGTATAATAGTTTTGCTGCTACCGAAGAAACAATGTAAAAAATAAGATGACGTCAAGTTGTATCTGCTTCTTCTAGAGCAGACTTGATCTATTACTTCCTATAACATTAACATGAGCTCATTAATGTAGATTAATAATAAATTTCTGGAAACTTGAACAAAAAAAAGCTCTAAATCCCAAAGCAGTGTATAATCGTAAGCACAAAAGCTCTCTCGTAATACTTTCCAGAAAAAACATAGATTTAATATAGAATAGAATAATTAGAATAGGATAATTTGAGTCAAGAGTTCTTAAGAGACTTAAAAAAATATCAAAGTTTAACATGTATTTACATACTCGCTAACAGATTCGAGATGGAACTGAAACTTGAGCTTTAGAAAACCTAAAATATCCATACTCATGACAGTATGATGGACACGTCAAAAAAACTCTTATCTTAATTTCCCTCTTTTCCTACAGTATTGCTGTAAGATGCTGAAAACATCCACCTCTTTTATTTTATAAATCACATTTACATACAAAGAACAACAGATATTTTAAAACCGTATTTCCTTTTAAAGTACTGATACTAGCTGAAAAATGAGTACGGCACTAACTTATCCTCATAATCCTATTTAGTAGGATCAATCTTAGAAGTCACACTAGTATGAATAATAAGGCAGATATCAAAAGTCGATTGTCGATTAGCCCCATAAATATATCTCAATATAAGATCCTTTAATCGATCTTATCCTTCGTCTGTCTTATTAAAAGACCCATTCATGAGACTAATCAGTAACCGGCTTGGGGGGTTCGTTCGAAACGTACATTTTTATTTTTGAGTAAAGAAAGAATGATGTGAGAATGGAAAATAGGAAATTAAGATTATAAAAAGGAATAATGAAAAAAAACTGTTGATTATAACGAAGTATTTCTCTATTATGATTTTATTATCTTCGCTTCATGGATGTTTCTATTTCAAGAAGATATAAGTTATAAGTTAAAAAAGAGTCTATCTACCAGAAAAGAGTTGATAAAACTTCGTATAAATTTTCAAGTTCAATATGTCCTTGAAAATTTTATTATAATTAATTAGTGACACACTGTTTAAACTATTTATTCTGGTCTTTTTTTCAAACATCCGAACACTTCAATAGTACTTTTGCTGATGCATTCTCTACTTTTCTATCGAAAAAATGATGTGTAAAGAATATAAACAATTTTCTACAGGTCGCAAATATTCTATTTACACTTATAATAGTAATGATGCAGAATTAATTTGATAGTTAAAATTATTCATTGTGAATAGCAGATGTTATTAAACTAAACTAGGGTCCTAGTGTCTACACATAATTTTCTCAATGTTTGTTCATTCAATTTTTTTATAGAGCGGCAAAACTATGTACATCAATTATACCAAAAAGGAACTGAGATAGTCAAAAAGTATCGACAATATTAATTATAAGAATTTACTTTCTAAGAATGTCTCTTATTACATTTTCATATGAATATGATGCATATTAACTGAACATGTTATGTTAGGAAGAATGATCTTTAATTTCTCGACTTCAACTGCCTATGTTTTAATAATTTTTAGTCAAAGTCATTTTTTAGACAAAATTATAAATTTTATAAGTAATCAGTCATGAAAAAGTGACATTAATTGTATGACCAATTATTGCCCATTAGGTGATATTTATATGACAGTTAGCTGAGAATCACTGCTATATTATAGCATAAAAGTTAATTGTTAATCTTATTTAACCTTGAAGTTTTATGCATTTTACTCAAATAAAATTAGAATGAAATATCTCGATAATCATGAAGATAAATAAACCAGAAATACGTGATCATCCGTGAAAATTATAATCATACAAAAGATCAAGTTAAAATACCTGTTATAATTGTTGACTTACAAGGGATCGAAGACTTTTTATAGGTACAGGAAGTATATGATGAAGAAAAAAAAATTTTTTTAGATGAACAAAATTAAACACTTACACTTTTGACGATAGTTTTAGTAGCATTGTTTTTTATTATCTGAGTGAGATAATTACAGGTTAAAACTGTGTGAATGTGAATACCACAACAAAGAAGAAAAAGAAGATGTGTAAAATTACTTTTTTTCTTCTCTTCTGTAGGAAAATCAGAAAGTCATCAAAAGTGGAAGATTTAGATTGTGTGTTAAAGGTTGATTATTATTATATTATTCTTCCTTTTAACTATAAACATAACAGAACAAAAAAAAAGAAACGGCTTTTCTTTCCTACACTAGTAGTGGAGACGAGCTAAGAGAAAAAAAAGATAAAAAAGTGTTTTTTTTTCCTGTTTCAACATAAAAATTAAAAATATGTTCATCGTAACTCACATAAACAACAAACATTACGTACACACGCACGCGCTCGCTAAGAGAGAGGATACAAATCCATTTAACCGTCAAATAGAATTATTGTCTCTCTCTCACTAATTCTCTCTGTTTTGTGTTGAACCCAGCATTTAAGATTATTCACGCGCGCGCACCGAACAATAAAAAAAAGAGCCGACACGTATAGGAAGTATTCAGGATGACAACAACAAGAAAAGAAAGAATTTTCATGTCGGACACAACAGAGAGAAAACGGTAGTCGATTAAATAAATTTTGTTAATACATTCACTAACACGTGAAAAATAATTTTAGAAATGGCACTAGTTCGAATTTACATAAATCTCGGGATCCAATTTTCTTTCCTGTTCGCATCCGCAAGTAAATTTAGATTTGTCACAGTTACAAAAAGAAAACATGTTAGTTCCAGAAACCATTCCACTTATAAGTTTACTTCTGTGATATTGTTATGTAAGTAATTCGTCCTCTTTGTCTACTTGCACAAAAAAAAGTAGGGCTCTTTTTATTACTCATTCATATTCCTTCTCTTTCCAATATAATCATATATCAGTTACATGATTTAATCAACTAAAAGAAAGCGAAGAAAACGATTTTGACATATAATAAACAATTGAGAAGGGCAACGATGTCTGTCAAATACTGCAAATCAAAAACAGCACTGTGTATCAAAATACTGCTGTGTGCTCACTTGCACTCTGTCATAAACTGATATCTTGATTCATTTATTACTTTACAAAGCGTTTGAAATTTAAAGAACATCCATCTATCGTTAGGAGATCAAAGTTTTAATTAAAGATTGTCTATATATTATTAAAAAACTATACAATCTTGAAAGTAATGAATTTCTAAAAGCATGAGACCTTTTTATTTTGTCATTAAGTGTAATAAAAACAGCAGTTCCGCTTTCTGTATCTGAATATTTATCTTTTAACTGCTGCTCTAAAACAACAAATGTTTTACTTACTTTCAGTTGGTTGATAGTTTCGAAACGATTTATGATAATTCAAGATATTGACGGCAATTGAGGGTGTTCCAATCTAAAATCAAAAAAGTAATTAATAACAGGCAATATAAGCGGCATTCATTCTCGATTCACTTAACCTTCGACTGAAATAACTTGCTTTTAGATGAGTTGTTAGACGTGTTAAGCAGCAGTGACGAACTTGTGATATCTTATACAGCGCATAAAGATACTATTAGTTTTTCTTGACCGACTATTTTAATTTTTTACACATCAGTTTTTTCTCAAACCACACATACCCTGAAAAATTTCTGGATTCGCATCTATTTAGTCGTATTCTTTGAGCAGTAAATAACTGCGCAAATCAACGCCTCTGTGCGTGTCTCCATACAACTGTCAAATATAATAGATCTGACGTTTATTTTTTGCAAGCCCTTCTACGACTATAACCACTGCAGTTGTCGATTTGACTGTGCGACCGCTCAATGATCTTCTACTGCTATTATAGAATGAAACATAACTCTGTGGTATACTTATGGTTCTGGTATTTTAGGTAGCTGCAACCCAGGCATTAAAAAACAATATAATAGCGCCCGATTTATCTACGTTACTAGATTTTTACTCGATTGCAACTATTTGGTAACGACAGTGGAAATCTAGTAATCGAGCGATTGCTAGACTTTTTCTCAGTTGTAGCTATCGATTAATCGCCCCATAATCGATCGATTTAACTATTGCTAGTTGCACGTGCAAACGCATCTAGTTAAAAGTCCGTTTTCCATCTAGTAATCTAAATGACAACTAGTCGTGCATCGCCCGATTACAGACGAAATGTGTCTAGATTTTTCTCATAGGTAATTTTGGCTTGGGAAATGTGTCATATGGTCAGGTGACGATGGCAACGACTGAATTTGATTTATCACTCTAGACTTTCAGTCAAGGGAACGTTTCAATTTTAATCATATATGTTGAAAGAACATCGAAAATTGGTTATAAAGTGTCAGATTTAAGGATCACAAATTCCTTTTTCTAGTGAACATCATACAGAAGATCCGAGTTATACACGAACAGAAGCACTGAAGGTTGATACAAGAGACAGTTCGCATATTTTCGACACAAAAGTATTTGGCTATTCTCTGAATATGAGGACCACTCAAGTTGTAAAAACATATTGCTAAATTATTAAAAATACTTGAAAAGAAAAACATACAATCTAGTGTTTTCTGATATTTTCACATCGAACATGGCCCCATCTGTTGTTATCGATTTTTACTATTGAACTTTATTTTTTCATACCTGAATTCGATTAAGTGTTAACTACATTATGACGAAAATCACAGATCTCCATCTGTTTCAGGTTGAACGCTCTTCAAAAAAATATCCGACAAGTGCAGAGGTACGAAATCATAGAGACAATGGATAAAGCTTGTTTTTGACTGAGTGATCCCAGAACTTTAATGACATATAATTATTATATCTTTTCTATCTTTGATTCCTTTTTCCCGTTTATTACAAGCATGTATGCGACGAATGATAGAGAAAAAAGGGTTGGACTTCGATTCATTCCTAATTACTCACGTGCACTTCTGATGTCGGTGTGTCAAAGTAGATAAAAGTAGAAAATTCTACATATAAATATCCAAAAGATTTCGATATTTACTTCAGTATTAATCTAATTTAATTCAAAATGATCTTTCTGAAGAGAAATCGGTTTACCTTCAGTTTTCTGAAAAATTCTTCTCCTTAGCTCCTAGCTCATTATGCCGCCTATGGATAACTGGTATTATGAATTCAGTGAAGCAAAGGAATCTGAGACTCAATGAATTAATGTAATTTGACATTTTCAAATTATTTTCGACTAAAACTTACTATACTGATTATTAAACAACACGCTTCAAGCTCTTGATTCATGTGATAAACTGAAATCGGTTCATTATGAATCAAATAGAGAAAATTCACTTTTAAACAGTTCGGTTTTGAGAATTGACATTTTCTAGGTATATCGTATGTGTCAAAAGTCATACTTTAAAGGTTTTAGGTCATACTTTAAATTTGATTTTGCTAGTCTATACAGTTGCAACGATATTTTGTCTTTTAAATTAACTACACCATTAAACTTTCCTCGGACATACTGACGCTCTCTGAAGCTGAAAACTCAATAATAATACACACGATCTTGATTTATTAACGATTTCTTACTTCAGCTCTAAAAAGTTTTATCTTATTCAAAAATTAGACAAATTCCATCGTGAAAAAGTCGTAATTTTATGTGATCGTATTTTAAGTTAAAGATTAGAACTAAGACTAGAACTTTTTAGTGGCCAAAAAACGAAACAGAACATTTGAGACAAGGGAAAGGGCTTCTTTTTTTTTTCAAACTGACGATCCCAATGTTGGTATTTTCAAAACACACTATCAATGACTATCAATTTTCTTTGCAAGAGTGCATTAGTCAATAAAGGATATAGAAACAGTTTTATAGTCAAGAGATTCGTGATTTTATAAAAATAACAATGCATAGGCAATAGTCACAGTTTTGACAGGTAGTGCATGCATCCCCTCTATGAAATCGGTTTCGGTTATATTTCATCGACAGTTTAGGTAAACAAACTCAAACTTTGCTTAATATCAGTGACCTTTATGCAGAGTTTATGCAGAGAATCAAAAAATATCAAAGCCGAACTGTTTAAAAGGCATGTATTTATACTCAATTTGTAATGTTTTTATTTAAAAATAACGACTTTTAAATAATCCTCTGTTTCCATAAAAACTCGAAATTTTGATAAATTTACGACGAAGTCATCTGAAATATCTACTTTCACGGTTTAGAAAACAAAGAATTATAGTGAGGGTTTTTAAAGTTTTTTATCATAAAATCCTGCTTTGATAAATTTAATAGATGCCGATGTATAAGAATTTAACTACACCTGTTATTACTACCTATAGTTTGTTCAGGATCCGGTGAAAGTTAAAAGTTTCTTGAATTACATTCTATTGTTCGCTGAGTCAATGAAACAAACAATAATTAGCTGTTTATTCACTTCAGTGATAACCTAAAGTGGGCACTATGTACAAGCTTGCGTACAGGTATACATATTTTTTAATTTTTCTACTAAAATGCTGACATACCTTCCGTTTTGAATTTGATGATCTTGGGATATCGCTCGTCGTATATTCTTCTCGTTCTTCTGAAATTTGTCTTGATTCACTTCGTCCGGTTGATGCTGATAATGCCACATGTTGACCTTTTACTTTTGGTTTTCCTATTGAACTTTGAGATGATAAACTTTTTTTAAATGATTTTGAATCGTATGAATCACTTCCACTATGACGAAATATCCTTTTTAAATTTTTGACACCACCGTTTGTACATTTCTCGCCACTCAAACTATTATTATTATGCGTGCTCACTCCCAAATGTGTTTCATCTTTATTACCAGACGATGACGATAGAAAACGATGACGTTTTGACGATGAATATTTTCGACATAATTTACGAAATTCACGTTCAACAAATGCTGTTTGTAAATTATAGACAACGGGCCATAACGACAATGCCGAATCACCATATTTATTCTTGATGCTTATACAAGCATGATGGCAGATCAGTATATTACAAACATCATGTTGCAATCGAGCAGCTAAATGAAGTGGCGAACAAGCCAATTCATCGCGTATATTTGGATTAGCACCGTAGCGTAACAACAAATTTGTAGCATAATGATTATTTCGTTGTGCAGCTAAGAATAACGGTGGTAACATGTAAAGACGTTCATTCGTATAATAGGAATTATAATCAAGAGTACCGTTGCGACAAGGGGATGCTCGTGGTAGTAGATCGGGTGAGATGTAACCTGAATTTGTCGATGTATCTGACGTTACGGGATGTGTACCGGGCGCATTTGGATCGATACCATATTTTAACGAAATACGCAAAACATCTCGAGCATCATATATAATAGCTACATGTAGAATATTTCGAAATATAGGTGGTGCATCACTGGGTGAATCAGGAGCACTCCTTGTTGCTGTCTTTTCAAGTTCAAAACCGCCGCCACTATCTGCGGTGTTAAAATTAATTGGTGATGGTGTTGCTGACGCATGTTCCATTAGAGCAGCTGCTAGTGGTCCAGTTCTTTGTGTTAATGCTGAATGTGCTGCTGTTGTTTCACATACAGCATCTGATGATAAACAACATTCGTTGATAATTATGGAATTACCATTATTATTTGATAATGAATTTGTTTCCAACAATCCTTCTTTACTAACAGCTTCTATTAGATCGGTATTCGATGTTAATGATGGTGTGCCACTATGCTGTGAATGTGCAGCAGTGGCACCACTCAATTGACGATGATCTGTGACTGGTGCTCCACCTGCACCACCAGTGCAGCCTTGAAGAATACTGTGACGATTTTTAATAATGCTAAATTTATTTTGATGTATATCGATAATTCTTCTAGCAGTATATTTATCGTTATTAATAATTGCTTTTTCTAAATTTTCGCCTTCATAAGTCATATCCAAAATTGAACATAAATCATACATATCATTCTGTTTAAATCTGACGACACTATTATTTGATGAACGTCGGCTATTAATCGATGTCTCTGGTACATCTAAATAACTTGATGATGATTCTCCATCTAAAACCACTCTTAAATATGGCGAGAGTGAACGTGATGAGCTAACACTTTCGTGATCAGATGAGATACGTTTTGTTGTTGTTGTTTGTGAATAATGATCGCTCGCTATTTCATCACCACCTTCTTCTTCTGCCACGGGTGTTTGACGTTTTAATCTCGATGAACGAACACGACTTAATGGTACGGATAGCATTTGACTAACTTTTGTTGTCGTTGTCATCGTTTCTATGAGCGTATGAGGTAACCTTGCAATTTATGTTCAACCAGCCATCATCACCTAAAAGATGGTAAAATAAACAATGTTACATCTTTGTTATAACAAAAGAATAACAGAAACACTGGTTTATTTGACATCCCATATAGGTAAAACAGCATGTCTCTGTCTCTCTCTTTTTCGCTTTTTCATCTATATATTTATTCAACGATACATATTATCTATCTAATCATTTCCAGTACACAAATTATCCATGAAGAATAGAAGAGAAAGAGAGAAAGATGATGAAGGACAATCAATGTGCCAGGGAAAGATGAAACATTTTCGAAATCAATATTGATTAATTCTATTAGACACAATGTCCTCGCGTTCACAATCAAATTAAAAAATAACAAGGACAGAAGAGAGAAAAATTGAAGGGACATACTTACATGTCATATTGAACAATGTTTCTATATATACGTAGTACATCGATCAGTTTTCTGTTTAGAAATGACAATCGTAGAAACTGACTGCGTTAAGCCCTCTAACAGCTAAATCGTTAACTTTCTGACCCTTTATCAATAATCGTTTGTCGTCATTGTATGGGTGGATATATGTTCCGCATTATCATCATAATAATTATCACTACGTATTGTGCACAGTATCAAATAAAGAAAACGTTAACACGTTATCCGTCAATAGAGAGAGAGGGTAAGAGTAAGAGGGTAAATGTCAGCTTACGAACAAATAAACAAATATAAAATATATAAAATAAATACAGATCATTCATCCTACAAACAACAAAGTCAGATAAAGTGGAGAAAAAAACTACTGTTTTTTTCAGTGTTTTCACAAAGACACCGTACGTCAAAGGGATTTGAGAACTAGATTAAGTTTATACATCAGTATGTTATTAATAACGATAGAAAAAAAGCTGAAATTCAACCGATCTCAAAGTGAGACACTTCTATTCGATAACTTAAAGGAGATCAGCAACCTTCTTGGTTTCTTACCATGCTCGTGTATTCATCTCTTCTGTCCTTAAGAGAATGAGAAAATGAAGTTGAGTTTT